TAGTGTATATATATATATATATATATATATATATATATATTGTTTATATTATTTGCTTTAATAGCCAGCAAAATTACATTTCAAGAATTATTTTATATTTTTAATATTAGAAACTCTCTTAAGATATTATTATAAAACGAAAAATAGAATTAAAATAATTATTTAATGATGAAAATTTTTATTAAGATTTTTAAGAGTTTCCATTTTATTACATTTTATTGTAAGTATCATCATCATTATCAAATAACCCTTTTTTATTCACTGCTGAATACGAAACTCTCTTATCTAAGATTAAAGGATTTTAGCCATTTCTCTATCACGCTGGCCAGTAAGTTTATAGAAAGATCAATTGTCTTTTTAATTGATTTGGGTGATATGCGCAACAGGGCAAGATAGTATCTGTGATTGCCATTGCCTTTCAACAGACGGCGATCGAATAAAATCAGATGTTTTTATTTTTTGTTATTTTTTGTTGATTTGATGCAATCGGATTTGAACCCAGATCTTTGGAATCATGTAGAGGAGACGCACAACTTTCTACTGTCACGATCGCCACATTGTAAATATAAGTAGTAATAATGATAGAATTTAATGAAATTTCATATGTCATACAACTCTTAAAGTTATTGCTTATTTAATATATTATTTCTATAAGGAATGTTTGATTGGTACACCATAATCGAATCTATAAATAAACATACATCAAAAGAGTTGACAAGGTTGTCTTCCTCACATAACTTAATTATCGCCTGAAGTTTTTTATTTATATCTCTAACTTCACGAATAATTGACGAGCAGCATAAAGTTTTATTCATTATACTCTCCAACCACAAAATATAGTGTTTTATTTCACTCACACTCACATATCGACTTAATCTTCAAATCTCGGAGAATTTTTGTCTTTATGGTCAGGCTCTTCGATACCGCTAGCATTGATATCGTCTGTTCGATCGGTCATATTAATTATTATGACGTTTCATCTTGGGTGGCTAGGGGGTTCTCTTTCTCTTTCTCTCCCATTGCTTCTGCCAGATTTCTTCGTCTTCGACGGATTCTTCGGCAGATTATATCTTCCAGTGTATCCAGTGTATCCGGGCAAGTAAGGAATAAAGAGACGATCGCAGAACAGGAAGAGAGAAGCATAAATATAAAAGAGTATCCATCGAAGCAAAAGCGAGATACTACGCGGTAATACCGTTTTCTCGACTACGACTTATCGTCGTCGTTGCCGACGTATAGGATCAGACAGGGACATCTGGGAGGCATGCCTTAATTGACCGTTCGGAATATCGACGAGATCCCAGAGACGGATTGAGACGTCAGATTTCCGAGAGACGTTCGCATTTTTTGCCCACCAATGAAATATAACCGTTCAATATACTCGATGGATTTATTTATGTACTCAGGGATTGCGTCATTAGATTCGATCAGCATCGAAACGCTACTATGCATTTCTTTCTTATTAAAAATCCCGCCTGATATGTTCTGAAAGCATTGAGCATGTGTCTTGAATATTTGTGAACGTCTATTCATCTTATTTATTATATATATATATATATATATATATATATATATATACTTAAAATTTTTAATTAAGTTCCATTTATATCCCCCGACAAAAACTTGATAGGGCGTAATCTTTCTTGCGATCTTCGAAGTTTTAGTATTATAAATAACTTAAAGCGACGACTAAAGGTTACCGAGTTATATATATTCAGAAGCATAACTTTTCTGAGATATTTCTATCTTTTATACATGTTTCCATCTACGTATTGAATACTTGCCTTGATTATTTAAAAAATTCTATTTTTCAAATGTCGTTATTATTAACAATACAAAATATTTTCAATCTGTCAAAATAGTTGATTGGTTCGGGGATAAGCAATGAACGCGTAGTGGTTGTGCAAGCGCAACGGCTTTGCAACTGCGATTCAATTGCGAGGCAGCATTCCAAGGAGAGATTGCATATAACGCGGTATAACAGATGAACCGATTCTTATTAATCATTTTCGTCTGACGTCTCTCGCAATCTGCCTGGCGGGCATTTCGCGGGCTCGTGCGACAATCCTAAGGTGAGTAACGGGGTAACAGGTGGCCTCACAGGTGCGTACTCGTCAACTTAACAATTTCACATTCGTTTCGCCAACGTACCAACCAGGCCGAAACTCGTATCGTTTGTGATATGAATGCACTCCGTCGAAGGTTAATCAAGGGTTTTGGACCCGCGATGACGCGCGCGATCGCAAATGCGACGACAATAGGCGTCGTCGGTATGATCGAGGTGAAATCTGAATGCCGCACAAATGGAGCTGTCAACGTTTCTTCTTAAGTCGCACATTGTATGCCGAATCAGAGAGACTCAAGATGCAATCGTCGTCGATTGACGTGATGACGCGCGAAAATGCATCGATGAAGAACACTGTCTCGGAAATTTTATGTATGACACTGTGGCGTCATTATTCAAAATGAGAGACGGATATCTGTGAGATTCTTGATGAACGACGAACGATGCAGAGAATGTATCTAATTAAATATATCTAAAATGTATCTAATTAAAATTAAATATATTTAAGATAAAATATAATTGATATAATATACATAACATGCATATTTTCTATTTTGAATAATTGATAACATTGTATTAAATATGTACGCAATTTTGATTGAAATCACCGAATCATTCAAAATTATAATAAATGTAATCAAACTTATTTTTTAAATTAATATCTTATTATTTATTACACTCAATTATTGTACTTTATTTTCAATATTTCTATTTATCATGTATCTTATTTGTTGTATTTCCATTATATTGGATATTGAATATATTGATAACACAGATATTGTAAACATAAAATAAAAATTTTTAAATAAAATCATTTGTAGTCATGTCAGAAGACATTGAAAAGAGTTTAGGGAAACAAAATCGTTTTCATCATCTAATTGAATTTGATAATACGCCACTTTATGTTATATCTATCAAATGGAAATGAAAAATTCTCTAAATAGTCAAAAGATGAAAGATATAGCGTTTGAAAAATCTGTCACATAGTTTTTCACTGCAAGTTGACTGCTTGATCGATGACGAACATTAGGTTACCCATAGGTACCAGCAGGTCTAACAGAGAAATGTGAGTGGACGATGAAGGTGAGAGATGTGTAGGT